GTGAAACTATCTGCAAAGTAAGTGGCTGGCGTCTGATATAGGTGAGTTTTGGAAACCTAGGAAATTTGTTAGAAAAATAAAAAAAGCTAGAAGTGATGAAGTGTACTGAGAGGTAAACACATTAAAGATGGAATCCTGGAGCCGGGCACAGAGGTGCACACCTTAGTCCCAGCCAGCAGAGGGCTGAGGCAGGAGGATCCCTTGAGCACAGGAGTTCAAGACCAGCCTGAGCAAGAGTGAGACCCAACTCTACAAAGTAGAAAAAACTAGCCAGGCATTGTAGTCCCAGCTACTCGGGAGGTTAAGGCAAGATCGCTTGAGACCTGGAGATTTAGGTTGCTGTGAGCTAGGCTGACACCATGGCACTCCAGCCTCAAAAAAAAAAAAAAAAAAGTAAAATCTTGGCCAAGCATAAGTATCCTGCCATTGTGTGTACAATTTTTGCACTGGGTGACAAAAGAAAATTTGTGGAAATACTGTTGGTTCCAGAAAGTTTCATGGTGTTCTTGAGCACCGCATGCTAAAACTAGTGAATTTCTCATGCTGAGGCTGCCTGGTCACAGGTGTGACCCACTCAGACTAGGCTGAAACTGCAGTCCTGACATCTGGAGGGCTGAAAAAGTGACAGAGGAGACAAGATTTGGTGAAGAATTTCAGTTTTAAACAAATCTGGAAGAGTCAAGAGATGAAGAACCACTTAAACCTGATGTTTTTGAAGAGTATGGGTGAAGGAATTTCTGCTCTACGAGAGACTGTACCATCTCCCCAGATAAAACTCCTGAAGGTGGTTTTATCCCAAGAGAAATTTCTAATGTTGATGAACCTGTGTTGTTTTTTTTTTTCTTTAAACAAATGCTAGCTTGTACATTTCAGAAGAAAAAAGTGCCAGGACATAAATCCTCCAAGGACAAAGTAACACTACTTTTAGTTGGAAACCGTGAGGGCCAAGTTAAACCAAAGCCCTTGCCGGTGTGTCATTCCAGAACCCCGAGGGCCCCCGGGTAACACTGCAGCATACACGGCTGCTATACGGTGTCAAAACGCACATGCCGAGAAAAATCTTTCGTACAGGCTCCCTTGACTGAAGATGATGCTTCTGGACATTATCCTGGAGCTTTCAGTTACAAATAACATCTGTGTGGTGGTCTTTCGGCTTTTCAACACTACATCACGACTGCAATATGTATTCAAGGAATCACCACAACCTTCAAGGCATATTAGTTGATGATAAAGCAAAAAGCTTTGGCTTTGCTAAGGAGCCTGGAGTAAGCATCACGGGCAGTAATACGTTGATGAACTATTAGCATCACTCACGAAGAGCCAAGGACCTACCACTAGGAAATTCTTCTTCTAGCTGATGGTCACTACTGGTCTAAGGCAGGGAGGAAGAGGAGCTCTGTTATTTGAATGTCTTTAAAATCCAGACCATGCAGACATGAGTTTGTTTTAAAAGAGCAGGATTAAAACGTAAGTACAAGCAGAAAAAACCTTTTTTTTAAAGGGAGAGAATCTCACTCTGTTGCTCAGGCTGGAGTTCAGTGGCCTGATCCTAGTCCACTGCAGCCTCAAACTCCTGGGCTCAAGTGATCCTCCTGCCTCAGCCTCTGAATGGTAGCTGGAACCATAGGGGTGCATCACCATGCCCTACTAATTTAAAAATTCTTTTTAGAGCTGGGGTCTTGCTACATTGCCCAGGATAGTCTTGAACTCCTCCTGCTTACAGGCGTGAGCCACTGTGCCCGGCCATGCAGAATCCTACGTCATCATGTGGAGTTCTAAGACCACAGGTCAAGGGAATACAAACTATTTTAGTTTTTATCCTATAGCTTCCAAAGATGGCTCTCAGCCATTTACATTTTGG